GGGCTGGGGATTCAAACCTGCCACCTTAGGTGTATGTGGCTGGCGCCTTAGCCACTTGAGCCACAGGCGCCAAGCCAAATTTGTATCTTTTTTCAGAAGCCAGGGCCATTAAAGTGTTAAACTCTGAATGCAGATGTAAATGAAATGTACAATAGCTAGAGAAATCTGATGTGTAAGAGTAGAGAGATATACTCTGAAAAGTCCAGGACTAGGCTTTTGAGTCAGATAGATTTAGTTTTGAATCCATTCTATGCCATTTATTAGCTTTATGATCAGGGGTATGTTAATTACGATGAGTCTTAGCTAAGTTTGAAAATTGGTGAAAATGCCACCTATTATATTTTAAACATTCTGGTATAGTATCTACATATATTAAGTACATTATACTTGTATATTATTATTATACAAGTATCCAGTCAATAATGGTAATTGTTAATGTTAAAGACCCTCTTGAAAACTATTTAAAACAAAAAATATTACTATTCACAAAAAATCCAAATGATTACTAGATTCTTGATAGACTAAAGAATGAACCAAAAACAAAATTGAAAAATGTTGAAAGATTAAGACAGATTAAAAGAAAAAAAGAATCTGTAGGCATAGACAGATAAGAAAGGAGGCAACTGGTTAAGAAATTTAATTTTTATTCTGAGCCGCATTTTAGGAACAAGTAATCAAGTTTAAATGTGTGCTAATTCAACTTGCCATGCAGAATCTGTACCTGTTTATTGATTATTCCCTGTGCTTAAGAGCTGGGTAAGTTATGATAGGGATATTCCCCCATTCTCTATGGGTTTACTATTACTTAGACAGGAGGGCCCCATGATCAAGACAGATAAAAGCCACTAATTAGAAGATGTGGCTTTGAGATCCTCTGGATAGAGAATGACACTTAACTAAAATTCGTATTAATTTATTCTTTTCCTGAATTCTGAAATCAAGCCATGAAAGACATGTGATGCTCCTATAACACAAGTCTTGAAAACAGAGAATTCCATAGAAGGCAAATACAGCCCAGGCTGTTAAACAAAACAGAGAAATGTTTTAATGAAACTTCTACTATTTACGATCAACATAAATCAAGATCTAGTATAGATAATTATCTTTTAAGATGGTATCAGCAGCAGTTGATTCTAGCAAGGGAATTGTTAGTGACTACTTATTTTTAAAATGCTGACTACTTTAAGCAGCATTACTTTATCTTTTTCTTTATCTTTAAAAATGTATTTGGGGGAGAGAGGAGGAGGGAGAGGTGTTGTTGTGCCCTCACCTAATGGGCACAATGGAAGGGTATATGGCACACCTCCTGGGAGAGGGGCACAATTACAACAGGGACCTTACTTAACAAGTGCAAACACTGTAACCTAATCGTCATATAAAAGAATAATAACATATGCACACATAAACTCTTTTTTCATGTTTCTAAAAGTATTAAGTTTATCTAAGATATCTGATCACTTGATTTCAGTTTAGGCATATATTGTATGAGTATGTTAATGAAAACAAAGGAATATTTTAATGCCTCTATTCCAGCAAAAACACAAGTAACAAATAAAAGGGGCAACTTTTGAAATAGTACTTTTTTTTTTTTTGAGACAGAGTCTCACTCTCATGCCCTGCCTAGAGGGCAGTGGCATCATCATAACTTACTGCATCCTCAAGTCCTGGGCTCAAGCAATCCTGCTTCAGCCTCTCAAGTGGCTGGGACTAAAGGCGTATACCACCACATCTGGCTAATTTTTCTAGTTCTTGTAGAGACAGGATCTCCCTGAGGCTGGTCTTAAACGCCTGACTCAAGCTATCCCCCCACCTCAGCCTCTTAGTATATAAGCTATTAAGCATACAATTTAAAGAACATTGTTACTTTCTTAAAGCGGAACATAAGAATTTAAAAATTAAGTATCAAATACCACCATAGCCTGGCTCTAAGAAAGTTTACTTACTTAATTTGATTATGTTTAAAGAGGTATATATAATGACACAATAATTGAGAATAATAGTACAACAATAATTCATATCAATTAGTTTTGTTTTTGTAGTTTTTGGCCAGGGCTGGGTTTGAACCCACCTCCTCCAGCATATGGAGCTGGTGCCCTACTCCTTTGAGCCACAGGTGCCACCATTCATATCAATTAGAACATGAAGAAGAATACTAAAAAGAAGTTTCTTGTAAACTTTTTGTTGTTGTTGTTAGAGGCATCGTCTTGCTCTGTCACCCAGGCTGGAGTACAATGAAGCAATCATAGCTCACTACAGCTTCAAGCTCCTGGGTTCAAGCTATCCTCCTGTCTAAGACTCATGAGTAGCTGGGAGTATAGGCAAATGCCACCATGCTTGGCTAATTTTTCTTATTTTTATGTAGAGATAGGGGTTTTGCTATGTTGCCCAGTCTGGCCTTGAACTCCTGGTCTCAAGCAATCCTCCCATCTTTGCGCCTCAAAGTGCTGGGATTGCATGTGTGAACCACCACTCCCAGCCTCTGTTAAACTTTAAGTACAGGATAAATAGCTTTTCCTTGGTCTGTGTCAGTTTGGGTATGGTATAAGGTAAGTGGGGTAAAGTAATTGTGATTCTTGAGATCTTTGGAAACATCAGAATTTTAGAAATCACACAAGTTGGGGAGAGCAGAAAGAGGAAAGGAGGGAGGGGGGTGGGGGGTCACAGTGTATGACACATCTTTTGGGGGAGGGACACAATTATAAGAGGAACTTTACCTAACAAATGCAATCAATGCAACCTGGGTTCTTTGTACCATCAGTCAATCCCCAACAATTTAAAAAACAAAAAAAGAAATCATACAAGTTTTAGTAGACAATTTCAGAAGGACATAGGTCTTTTCTTGGAAAATAAATTTCAATCTAAACACAAATCTTTTTTTTTTTTAAATACTCTTTCCTGTGGTGGGAATAACTTTCCTATCTTTTTGCTGTTGCTCATGAATAAATTTCTAGGCAAGAAATCTCAGTTCAAGTGCTATCTTTTTTGTGAAATCATCCCTGACTTTTCCAGACTGACTCAAGGGCTCTTTTATTTTTCACATGTATCCATTATATCTACTCGTTTGTTAGACATTTACTGAGTGGCCACTGTCAGGCAAATATCACATCATGCTGTGACTGCTGCATGGCTTCCTGTTTGTTCTTAGCCAATGTGAGGGCGTGAGCAGAATCTTAATCTTTGCATTCCTGGCTTCATGCACCTTGCCTAATAGTATATAAAATGCCTTCAGTAAATGTTGGTTAAACAAATATAATCTAATGCCCTAATTTCAAAGTGAGGGCCTGGGTCCCAGATTATTAGAATGGTGCCTTCAGAGACAAGACAATAAGTATACTAGACAAGACAATAAGTATATTAGAATCAGTTTCTAACTGATGAAGAAGAAGATTATCATTTTTAGGAAAAACAGAATCCTTTGAGTGAAATTCTGATTAGGCTTTTAATTATAGGTAAGATATTTGTGGATTTAATTTTGTTTTTAGAACAACAAAAGCCACTATTTCAAATGAGTTAGCAATGTTTCAAAGCCTAACAATGTTAACAAATCCCAGTCCTTTTAGAACAAAATAATAGTCTTTTAAAAATTTATAAAATTATTAAACAACTTTAAAGAAATAAACTAAGGAAATTAACATTTCAGTATTCTTGATATATTATTTTAAATCATTTTAACTATTTTGTCCTTAGGTCCCCTTTCAATATATGATTTCAGTTAACTTTAAGGTTAATAAGGGCACAGAAGGTTCACATAGATACCTGAGCAAAGTGAGCCAGGATAGAAAAGCTGATTTCATCATTTTTCAAGTCTACAATCAAAATATAGTAGAACCTCTATAATTTGAGCACCCAAGGGACTGTAACAAACTGGTCAACATAAGGAATTAGACCTATTGTACTGATACCTACATGTGGGGCATGTCTGGTATATGAAAATTATGTTGACTTAAGGAGGTGGCCAATGTAGGGAGGTGGTCAACTATGGAGGTTCTACTTTATAGCTATTTGAAGGACAGAAAAACAGATGGTCATGTATCATGAATAAAAACCACTAACACAGTAAAATACTAGTATTTTAATCCACTTCAAAAAAAATAATTTTGGGGTTGTTATGCCAAAGTCATATGCCAGAAACAATCTTATTAACCCTTATTCAAAGGATTTGTACCATTTATATGTTTTAGTTTACTGGTAGATAAAAAATATATTAGGTTAAAAATTTGATCCATCTTATTCTTTATTTTTTGAGACAGGTTTCATTCTGTTGCTCAGGCTGAAATACAGTGGCACAATAGTAGCTCACCATAACTTCAAAGATTTGGGCTCAAGTGATCTTACTTCAGCCTCTCTAGCAGCTAGGACTACAGGCATGCACCACCATGCCAGCTAATTTTTAAAAATTAGAAGCAGATTGGTGGTGCCTGTGGCTCAATGAGTAGGGAGCTGGCCCCATATACTGATGGTGGCAGGTTTGAACCCAGCCTCAGCCAAACTGCAACCAAAAATAGCTAGGTGTTGTGGTGGGTGCCTGTAGTCCCAGCTACTCAGGAGGCTGAGGCAATAGCATTGCCTAAGCCCAAGAGCTGGAGGTTGCTGTGAGCTGTGATGCCATAGCACTCTACCAAGGGTGACAAAGTAAGACTCTGTCTCTTTAAAAAAAAAAAAAAATTAGAAACAGTAGCTTTGTCCCACAAAGAACAGTACTAGTCTCAATGAGTAAAAATAATTACTAGAGATTTTATTCTTTGTGGGCTACAAGACTATTTAACTTACAATAAACAAAATTAAACATAAAAATATTTTGTAGATAAGAACATTTTCAAAATCATTACTCTAAAGACTTTTTCAATGGTTGATAATATGGACTGATTTTTATAAAAGCATTAAGCATTTATCTTTTTCCATTATGAAAAAACTAATTGCTCCTCAAGTGTTGAACATATCTTCTCAGAAAACAGATTAGCACGGCAGAACAACATCAAAATTGTGATCACAACAGTAATCTGTCATTAATTTTCTATATGGCTCTAGACAAGTCTTTTTTCCTTTCTAGGCTACAATTTCCCCTTTCATAAAGACAAGGTTAGCTCTATGGTTCTTTCCAGCACCCCTATTGAGGGAAAATAAGATATTTCAGACAAGATAAAAAGTGAATAGCTCCATCTCTTCACTATTTATAGGAAAGGAACTGTCTAATGTATAGGGGAAAACAGAAAGCCACAGCTTATGCATTCAGTGGCCTCTTACACATGTATATGACTTTCATCCCAATACCAGGTCCCACCCTCCATTGACATGCAAACCCACCCCTCCCCCCCTTAACCCACACCCCATATACCTCAGCTATGGTCATTCTCAGAGCACTGACAGGGGAGAGCTCAATATCCACCAGTTGGGCAGCTTTTAAACTCTGCCCAGTAAAGATTGCACAAGGACAGAAAACACAGCATAGAGTTAGAATTTTAAGGCAAACAGGGACACAACAGCTAAGAACACTGCCTAGGAACACACAGCATCTAGAAACAAAGAAGCATTTAGGGCTGTAGTTGAGCCTTGCAAAAGTGAGATGAAAGTCACTGTTATTCTCACTTTCCTCGTGGAAAATGGCAAAGATAAAATAATCTCAAATTAGTCATGATTTTAAGTTGAGCTTGATAAACTTGTTCATACCCTGTATCTTCTAATGCTCTATACTCCATTTCTCCCAGGCTTCAAAGCAGTCAAATTATAGGACAGTGTGACTGAGTCACTCATTAGCAAAAGCTGATTAATAAAACAGGGTCATGGTTATAATATAGAGGGAAATGCTGATTTCCTACATTTCTTTATATAGCCACTAACAGGGCTACTTTTTTTTTTTTTTTTTTTTTTTTTGAGACAGGAGCCTCAAGCTGTCCCCCTGGGTAGAGTGCCATGGCATCTCAGCTCACAGCAACCTTCCACTCCTGGGCTCAAGCGAGTCTCCTGCCTCAGCCTCCCAAGTAGCTGGGACCACAGGCGCCTGCCGTAATGCCCGGCTCTTTTTTGGTTGCAGCCATCATTGCTGTTTGGCGGGCCTGGGCCGGATTCGAACCTGCCACCTTGGGTGTACATGGCTGGCGCCTTAGCCACTTGAGCCACAGGCGCCGAGCCAACAGGGCTACTTAATATGAAAGAAAAGCAATGAAGATATCTCCAGCAAATATATTTTTATTAAACTGATACCATTAAACTCTGAAACTGTATCACAGAGATAATGTGCTAGTAATGCCAACAAGTACCTTCTCATTTAGTAGAAGTTAATCTCTCTCTCTCTCTTTTTTTTTTTTTTTTTTTGAGACAGAGTCTCAGGCTGTTGCCCTGGGCAGAGTGCTGTAGTGTCATAGCTCACAGCAACCTCCAACTCTGGGGCTCAAGTGAGCCTCTTTTCTCAGTTTTTCTATTTTTAGTAGAGAAGGGGTGTCTCTTTTGCTTGGGCTGGTCTTAAACTCCTGAGCTCAAGCAATCCACCTGCCTCAGCCTCCCAGAGTGCTAGGATTACAGGAATTTCATTTTTTAAATGTTATCAAATTAGCCTTTTGTTTTTTTTTTTTAAATTCAAATAACGACAAACATTTCTTTTTTTTTTTTGTAGAGACAGAGTCTCACTTTATTGCCCTTAGTAGAGTGCCATGGCATCACAGCTCACAGAGCAACCTCCAACTCCTGGGCTTAAGCGATTCTCTTGCCTTAGCCTCCCATGTAGCTGGGACTACAGGCACCCGCCACATTGCCTGGCTATTTTTTGGTTGCAGTTCAGCAGGGGCCAGGTTTGAACTCGCCACCCTGGGTACATGGGGCCGGTGCTCTACTCACTGAGTCACAGGCACCGCCCACGGCAAACATTTCCTACGGTACCAACTCAAACTCAAGGACAAAAATGTAAGATTAATGCTTTTTAAAAACTGCCAATTTGAGATTTATGCTGGTACTTTAACATTCAAAGAAATCTGGGGGCAGCCCTGTGGCTCAAAGGAGTAGGGCGCCGGCCCCATATGCCGGAGATGGCGGGTTCAAACCCAGCCCCAGCCAAAAACTGCAAAAAAAAAAAAAGAAATCTGAAAGGAATTATGAAAGGCCTATTATTTTTTTCTAAGGCCAACCAAAATATTTGCATATATCTATTCATTATTCCATTAATGAATTCTATTCTGATTAAAATTTAACCACTGGTTTCTTTGGAATGGTACAACATGAAGAATTCATGGACAGAAAGTATATATGAATAAATGTCTTGAACCTTTTTCCCTTTTTCCCTGAACCTTTTTCAGTAACTTGTCTTATAACTTAATCTCATTTAGAAGAAAATTGTTAGCATAAAAATATTGGGTGTGTTAGCCACATTTTAAGAAAAAATGTCATAGTTTTGTTATAAAAGTAATGAGATACACTCAAGCTCATCTTTTTCTCTTTCCTTTTTTTTTTTTCTCATTTTGTTGACTAGGCTAGCATGCAGTGGAGACATCATAGCTTACTGTAACCTTGAACTCCTGGGCTCAAGCTATCTTCTTGCCTTAGCCTTTCAAGTAGCTGAGACTATAGGCCTGTGCCACCATGCCTAGCTAATTTTTATTTTTATTTATTTTTTTGAGACAGAGTTTCACTATGTTGCCCTTGGTAGAAGTGCCATGGCATCACAATTCACAGCAACCTCAAACTCTTGGGCTTAAGCGACTCTCTTGCCTTAGCCTCCCAAGTTGCTGGGATTACAGGTGCCCACCATAATGCCCGGCTACTTTTTGCTGTAGTTGTCATTGCTGTTTGGCAGGCCCGGACCAGGTTGGAACCCGCCAGCCCCGGTGTATGTGGCTGTCGCCCTAGCTTCTGAGCTATAGGTGCCAAGCCCCTTGCTAATTTTTAAAAAACTTTCTGTGGAGAAAAGGTCTATGTTGCTCAGGGTGGTCTCAAACTCCTGCCCTCCTACTGTGGCCTCTCAAAATGGTAAGACTACAGGTGTGAGCTGCTGTACCTGGCCACACTTAGCCTTTTCTGTCCATTCCAAGGATAACTGTTATAGAACACAAACACAAAGGAACAGCAAATGTAACGAAAATCTAGAATTCTCTTACAGTATCACTGTCACAAGGCTGAAACTGGAAAGGCTGGGGTTTGCGAAATACAGCATTCTCTTGTAAAAACAGCTGAAGATTATAGTCCCGTACCACCTAAAGAGAAAATAAAATATGTTTAGGTTGTTAATAAAATTATAATAATTACATTTTAAAGCTTAAGGTTTATTATGTTGTTTTCTATACCAATGAGAAATCATCCAAGACTATGTGGTAAAAAAGAAATGATAATGTTACACATTTTATTTTTCATTTTTAGATAACAGTGGTTGTACAAATCTATTTTCTCAAAAATCTAAACTTAGAGAAAGTAATAGTTTGGAAACTAGTTTGGATTGGGGGATTAGACAATATGCAATATTTTAAGACATTAAGAAGATAGTTATTATACAAAAAGCTATTGTTTGTAATGGGAAGGGTGGGAATAGAAAAGGACATTGGTCTTTTTGGTGTCTCCCGGGCTCTTATAGCCTGTTTTATGGTGATTGCTATCCACAAGGAAACTGCCAGATAATTTCATAGTACAAAATAGTATTTTTAGAGTACTCCTTGACACCTTTTCGAGTAGATTACATTCTAATTACCATCGTAAAGCACACCAAGAGATTAGAGAAGAAAGAAATTCTTACACAGGGAGAATTCTGATACCCAGAAAGCCAGCTATCTAAAAAAAATTCATTTCATTATATACCTTGGAAAAGTAGAATCAGCAACATTTGATTATGTAAAAACCGACTTTTTATTTTGGTACAGCCTCACTCTTTACTCATCTTTTATTTGCAGTATAATATAGTTCATTAGCATCTTTGCCAGGTGATGGGCAGGAAAAAAGGTCAAAGTAGTTCTGTAGCTGTACTTTAGTAGTTCTGGGAAAGGGATTATTTCAGAAATAAAGTGTAGGTTTATTGTGCATTTTATTTACCAGAACAATCTTAGCTCTACTGCTTTCCTCTCCTTCACTCAACCAACCATTTAGTGAGAGAGTTTACCAGGTTCAATGTTAAATGGTATGAGGGGGATATACAGATGAGTAAGACAAACAAACAAAATTAGTGTCTTTTTTTTTTTTTTTTTTTTTGAGACAGAGCCTCAAGCTGTCCCCCTGGGCAGAGTGCCGTGGCATTACAGCTCACAGCAACCTCCAACTCCTGGGCTTAAGTGATTCTCTTGCCTCCGCCTCCCAAGTAGCTGGGACCACAGGTGCCCGCCACAACGCCCGGCTATTTTTTGGTTGCAGCCATCATTGTTGTTTGGCGGGTCCGGGCTGGGGATTCGAACCTGCCACCTTAGGTGTAGGTGGCTGGCGCCTTAGCCGGTTGAGCTATAGGCGCCGAGCCTACAAAATTAGTGTCTTTAAGGAATTTATAATCTGGAACCTGGGACAACCAAATAGGCTACACTATTAAAATATACTCTGGAAGTACGGAGGAGAGAATGAGACAGTCATGTTTAACCAGACTGAAGATGTGAGATAAGAAGTAATGGGAAAAATTTGGTCAGGGAAGTCTGGCTGAATGAACATATTCTCAAAGAGAAACATATTTTGCGTTATTCTTACATTCTACAATAGTTTTAAGCTAGAATAGCTGTAAAGCTAGTGACCCAGCCCTTGGAGCCTCACTAATCACCAGGCAGAAAAACTAACATCACCCCTTTAGTTGCCAAGCCTATTCTCAAGCATTACAAACTTTTTTTTTTTTGGAGGAACAGGTTTCAACCTTTTAAACTGTTAAGCTTTTTATTATGGAAAGTTACAAACACATACCAAAGTAAAAACAATAGCATAATATGTTTTGTTTCCAAAAACATCCTCTCATCAAAACATTCCCTTATGGCCAATCTTGTTTTACGTATAAACCCACCTACCTCTTTCACTCCTAAGTATACAGAAGCAAGTCCTAGACAGATAATTTCATCCACAAATATTTTAGTATGGTATGTAAAAGACAAGACTGCTTTTAAAATTTATAATACTTACATACTTGCAAAGCAACCAAAAAGTATTTAAATTTCCCTGATTGTTTCTTTAAAAGAAAAAAGTTTTTAAATCAGGATCCAAATAAAAACCCTACAGTACCACTGGTTGATGAGTTGTAGATAAGTTTCTTTTCATATGTAGGTTTCTTCATCTATGCCCCTCTGCTCCTTATAATTTAATTGTTGAAGTATTTTTGTTCTGTAGAGTTTCTTACGATCTAAATTTTGTTGACCGTGTTCTGTCTCCTGTATTTCCCATAAATTGGTGTTGGGATCTAGAGCCTTAATTGGATTCAGGTATGGTTTTATTTTGTTTTATTTGCTTGTTTTTTTTTTTTGTTTGTTTTTTGGCAAAGAGATATTTACTTCCTTAAGAAAGCCTACCTCTGAGTGACTCTTTTTATGATATTAATAGGAGTAGAGGGCTAAATGGTAGCCCTTCCAAAAGGTATGTCCAAAATCTGTGAATGCTACTTTATTTGGTAAAAGGAACTTAGAAAATGTAATAAAGTCAAAGACTTTGAAGATAAGGAGGGCATCCTAGAGTACCTGGGTGGGCCATAAATCCAATGATAAGTGTCTTCATAAAAGATAACCAAAGAGAATATAGACAAAAAAGGAAGAGAGGATGCGATGATGGAGGCTAATAAGGTAGAGACATGGCCACATGCCAAGGACTGTTGGGAGCCACCAGAAAGTGCAAGAATCAACAACCTGACTTTCCCATAAAGACTTTTGGAGGGAGTGCAGTCTGCTGACACTTAGATTGCAGACTATTGGCCTCCAGAACAGAGGGAATAAATTTCCAATATTTTACATCACCCATTTACAGTAATATTTACCGTATCAGTTAGAAAACTGATAAAATAACCTTTGCTGGTAAGTGCTTAAATTCATTAGGTGTTACAAAAAATATTTTTTCTAATTCTATCATTTCTTTTTTATTTGTTAGCTGGGATACTTCTATAAGAAAAACATTCCTCAGGGGCAGTGCCTGTGGGTTAAAGGAGTAGGGCACCAGCCCCATATGCTGGAAGTGGCAGGTTCAAACCCAGCCGTGGCCAAAAAAAGAGAAAAAAAGAAAAAAAGAAAAACATTCCTAAGTCAACTATTTATTATATTTACTTTGAGAAACAATTTAGTTACTTTAGGTATAGGTTGTCCAGGTAATCTAAGTAAGGCAGGATAAATGCTAATTCTTTCTTTTTATTATCTAGTTTTCAAATTGAATTATTTCTCTAGCAACCTCCAAAAAATGACCAATTGCAGTTTTAATAAACTATTACTATAAAGTTATTATGCATTAAAAATATTCAGTGTATATTTATACAATTTTAGAAATTTTCTACAGTTATTACCATTATTGAGGCTCAAATTAAGTTTTTTTTTTCCCCAACATACTACTGGGTAGCAATCCATTAAGTTTTAATACCACAAATGTATTGTATATATATTTATGTACTGTGAGCTCACTATAAAAAATCTAAGATTTTTTTCTGCACCCTTCCCACATCTGGAAGCAATTTTTACTTCCTTGGGGGGTGATACAACCCTTCCTGAGAATGTAGGCCCTAGAGGTAACCATGGTCCTGAATTCTGTGTTTAATATTCTCCTTTTTCTTTTTTTTT